GGGTTTCCGAAGAGCATCTGTGCCTATCCTCTAGTGCCACAACAGAACTCCATGCTGAACATGGTAGTGGTGGTAGTAGTGGCTATGTGCCATGGTTTCAACTCACAGTGACCCTGTATTGGGTTTCCCAAGCTGTAAATCCTTACAGGAACAGAAAGCCTCATCTTTCTCCTGAGGAGCAGCTGGTAGATTATAACTGCTGACTTTGCAATGGTTAAAAACCCAACTCATAACCCACTATGCGACCAGAGCTCCTTATAATGAGCATGGTGATGGTTGTTGTTTTAAGTACCATTGAATCGGTTCCGACCCATAGCAACCCTGTGTAGGGTTTCCGAAGAACAGAGGAGCAGCTGGTGAGCTTGAACTGCCAACCTTGCAGTTCAAACGGCTTTGCAATCTGGTGCCACAGGGCCACACTAGAACCATATATGTAATACATATTAATGAGACTTGAAAAAATTAAATTATCTCTTTATTCATTTAAAATAACAATAATAAATTAATTACATGCTGACTTGTGGTACTGTGGATTTATGCACTAGACTGCAAGGTCAGTGTGAACTGCAAGGTCAGCAGTTCAAACTCACCACAGGTCCTCGGAAACACTGTACAAAGTTGCTAAGGGTCAGAACTGACTTGACAGCACTTAACAATACCAACAAAAACAACAGCATAACTTGTTAGGTGCCATCAAATTGATTTCAAAGCAAAGCAACCCCACGTGACAGAGTCCAATTACCTCATAGGGCTTTCTAGGCTATAATCTACATGGGAGCAGATACTCAGATCTTTCCTGTGCAGAGTAGCTAGGTGGATTCAAGACATCGACAAAGTTTCAGCTAACAGTCAAGTACTTAATCACTGTGCTACCAAGGGTCCCTATGAAAAGAACTATAATCTCAAAAATAGACAAAAACAAATGTCAAGAAGAGTGACATTATGTACATTTTGGTATATTGCTTTAATGTTTGGTTTTATAGGAAACAACTGGGTTCTCACTCTGTGTCTTCATGCAGTCTTCTGCCGTGTGCTATCTGGCTGAAGGATATGAAGAAAATCCAACTTCTCAGAAATTCAAACTTTGAAAATGGAGACATTTTTTTGGACACTTTTCTTAACAGACACTAGTGGTTATTATTTTTCCTGATATTACACCAAAAAGCCACAAAAGGATTTTTGTGGAATCTGAATTTATAACAGTGAACTTTCTGTACTCAATTATAAGCTTACAAAACAATATATTATTTTGAAAAAATTTTTTATCTTGCAGATATCCTGAAGTAGTCTCAGGGACTTCCCTCCTCTAGGGGTTCCCTAGTCCACACATTGGGAACCATTGACATATGCTTAACTTTTCAAATACGCAATTCAATCCAAGTGATAGTGGTTTTCCATTCATAATAATCATTGTTGTTGTTTGTTGTTGTTTACTGCAGTTGAGTCTATTCTGACTCATAGTGACCTTGCACAGTGTTGTTATTAAGTGCCATCAAGTTGGTTCTGACTCATAGTGACCCTGCATAGGGTTTCCAAAGAACTGCTGACCTTGTGACTCATAGTCCAGTGCTGATCCTACAGTACCACACCGGGAATCAAATGATAATAACAGACTTGCTTCAAAGAAAACTTCTATTTAAAATAAATAATTAAACAATAATAAATGAAAGATGTATCTGGCTCCCGCTCTCACAGCCACTACAGTACATTAAGGTCCACAGAGACAGCACCAGGTCAGTCAGAGCTGGACAGCACTGGGTGGACTCTGTACTTTATAGGCAGAAAAATATAATAATAACTAAACATGGGCAAAGGAGATCCTAAGAAGCTGAGAGGCAAAATGCCATCGCATGCATTTTTTGTGCAAACCTACCAGGAGGAGCACATGAGGAAGCAACTTCTCAGAATTTTCCAAGTGCTCTGAGCAGTGGAAGTCTATGTCTGCTAAAGAAAAAGGAAAATTTGGAGACATGGCAAAGGCATACAAGGCCCGTTATAAAACAGACATGAAAACCTATATCCTGCCAGACAGGGAGAAAATAAAGTTCAAGGATCCCAATGCACCAAGAGGCCTCCTTTGGCATGCTTGTTTTGTCCAGAATATCAAAGGCTAGCATGCCTTTTGATCCATTGGTGATGTTGCAAAGAAACTGGAAGAGATGTGGAATAATACTGCTACCAATGACAAGCAGCCTTATGAGAGGCCACTAAGGTGAAAGAGAAATGTGAAAAGGATATCACTGCCTACTGAGCTAAAGGAAAGGCTGATGCAGCTAAAAAGGGAGTTGTCAAAGCTGAGCAAAGCAAGAAAAAGAAGGAAGAGGAGGAAGATAAAGAAGACGAGAAACATGAAGAGGAGGACAAAGAAGATGATGAATACATTGATTATAGGGTCATTTTTTTACCCTTGTCTATAAAGCATTCCACCCTCCTGCACACAACTCACTCCTTTTAAAGAAAAAAAAAAGTGAACTATAAGGCCGTGTAAGATTTGTTTTTGTTTTTTTAAAATAATATATGTAAACCTAACATCTACCCCTTTTTACTATTGTTTAAGTGCTGTCAAGTTGTTCCAACTCAAAGCCACCAAGTAAAGGATTTCCGAGGAGATGGTGGGCTTGAACTGCCAACCTTTCAGTTAACAATCCAGAGCTTATCCTACAGCACCATACCAGGACCTCACCACTACTTATAGGCAAGTAAATTCACTTTAGAGCTTTTCCTCAGCTCATTTCTTATCTCCGATATTGAAATCTTGCCTTTATATGTCAACTCTTGCGGAGGAGGGGGGTAGCTTAAAACTAACCTACTTAAAAAGGCATGGTGACACAACCATTAAATGCACACAGAAAGGTTGGTGGTTTCAACCCATCCAGTGGCTCTTGCAGAGACAGACATGATGATCTGCTTCCATAACAGTTATAGCCAAAAAAAAAACTCTACAGGACATTTCTACTCTGTCATATGGAGTCACTATGAGTCGGAATCAACTAGTGGCATACAACAACAGCAATAACTGTAGATTTAAGAAAGAATAATCTTAATAAATTTTTGAAATATTTTAATATGACTGATAGTGTAAATCAATTTACTTCAGCAACAAGAGTACATATCAAATGTAAGTAATGGATAACAATAACAAATATCACTAAATGGATTACCTAATTCCTTATCTCATACTTGCTAAAGAATTACGGCTTGTGGAAATATGACTTCCATAATTTTTTATTCAAGACATGGTATTTTCAATATTGTTGATGTTGCTAAGTGCCATAAAGTCAGTTCCAACTCATAACTACCTTATATAGGGTTTCCAAGGAGCTGCTAGTAGGTTTGAACCTTGCGGCTAACTGTCCAATCTGTGTAATCAAAAGATTGGTAATAAGACAGGATACAAACATATTATTTAAATACACATATTTATATGTGTGTGTATACAAACACACAAGGAGCTTCAATAAATTCATGGAAGTGGAATTAACAGAAGGTAAATTTTTTCACAAACATTTTGAAGTCCCTGTTACCAAAGTAATCCAGTGGTTGTTCAATTGTGTATTACAATTAGACAACGTGTGGTACTAGGCAAATCATTTTACTTTTCTGAGCAAGTTTCCCCAAATGTAAAGCAAAATGTGGCATTGAAATTACAGCATCTGTTCCAAATCTGAAAGTTAAATGACTCCATAATCTATCATTCTTTAGGACACTGTTGTTATGTGCCATCGAGTAGGTTCCAACCCATAGCAATCCTGTATAGGGTTTCTGAGGAGCACCTGGTGAACCTGAACCGCCAACCTTGTTCAAACTGACTTTGCAGTCCAGCACATTAAGCCACAATGCCACACCAGGACTCCTCTTCAGGACTATAGGTTCTAAAAGCAAATTTTTTTATATGGCATAAAGAATCATAATTTAAAGATAAATTTATTTTAGAAAGGTTAGGTATGTATGAAATATCTAATGTATTCATTACTAATTAAGATTTTCTTAGGTAAACATAAATGAAATATATTTATAGTTTTGTTAAGAAATTAAACATCTGCTCTAATATTAAAACTGGATCAATACTCTTAACACTTTTCTTTCCTGTATCAGCATCAGTTTCCCATTTACCTAGCAATTGGTAACATTGTGCTTTGAAATATTTTGTGCCATGCAGAATGAATGTTAAGTTTCTGATTAATGGTGTCTAATGGCATACATTATTGTTGTTAAGTGCTGTCAACTTGGTTCTAACTCCTAGTGATCCTGTAGAGGGCTTCCAAGGAGCAGCTGGTGGGTTTGAACCACTGACATTCTGGTTAGAAGTCCTGTGCTTATCCCACAGTGCCACATCAGGAGGTTTACCTTAATACAAAAATCATTGCTTTTCTAGGTTAATTAGGGGGGAAAAGTGGACTATAAGCAACTTTGTATGGTACAACCGGATTAGCTGACAGATCAGAGATCACTACTTACAACACTCCTGGTAAGAAAGTTGCTACTGTTACATGTCTTCAGTACTTATCTTAGAGTCACACCAGTATTCCTTTCTGACTCACCCTGTATAGGGTTTCCCAGGAGCAGCTGGTGGGTTTGAATAAATAATCTAATGGCTAGTAGTCCACTGCAGAACTCTTCTTTTTTAAAATCTTATAAATAAAAAATAAGTTAGACACTTCTACATTACAATTAATCTACTCAAATAATTTCCTACTAATTAGTAGCATTGTGTAAAGGACTTGCAAACCAGAGTAACTAGGAATCCTGGACTTAAGGAGTTTACAATCTTAAAGACAAAATTCAAAGTTAAGTACACAACAATATGTTGTAGAAAAGGAGAAGATCACAAGATATAGAGGTTGAAATTCAGGGCAATCCAAGACTACTTCCAGTTCTGGGTAAAGGTTCTCTTTGAAGTAGGCCTCAAGCCATATGAAAAGATATTTGGAAGAAATATTTGGAAGGTAAGTAAGCAGCACCCTCTCAGACACTGAGGTGTGCAGTACCCAAGTCTCGCCTCACCTGACGGTCCGGACAACAAAATACACCAGCACAGCGCCGCTCACCACCATCAACACTGTCAGAGCCCTCTGGGTCATGGGTTTGTCGCTGGGATTGGGGCTCACAGCGAGGCCACCGCCCACTGCGCCTCCTTCGCTGGCCTTCTCTTCGTGATCCTTTGTCACAAGACTGACCTGCTGGGTGCTACTATTGCCATCCTGAGCACCCTGCGGCCCCATGGCCTCGGCCGGAGCGCGGCCCGGCTGCTGGGCGGCGGTGGAGCCCGGAGGCAGTGGTGGCAGGGTCCGCGGCCCGGGATTCGGAGGCCCGGGGCCCGGGGCGGGTTCGGCCGCCAGAAACAGCACCGCCATGGGCCCGCTCAGCGCTGGCGGCAGCAGCAGCAGCAGGAAGGCGGGAACCAAGGAACTGCTAAAGTAGCTGCAGTGGGAGGCCTTCATCATCCCCGGACCGCCCTCTCAGCACTTGAGAGCGGCCGGGTCTGCCGCCCTGACTCCTGGAGGGATCATGGGCGCAGGAGAGAACCAGAAAAAGGGAACCAAATCCCGGTTTAGAGAAGGGCGGTAGCAGGTGGTAGCGGTAGCAGCTGCCGGGAGAACCGGAAGTTCGTACATCTCAGCAGCCACTGCTACTAGGGACGCTTTCTTTTGCTAGGGTGTTGGGGCTGGACGCGTCCAGTGACGCAAGACGCTGGGCGGAGCACGCGCGCGTGCGGCTGGAAGAATTGGATGAATGGCTGTTTTTGGAGGATGTAAGGAACTCTGGTAGCTTAGTGGTTTGAATCGGGCTGCTAATATCACGGTCAGCAGTTCAAAACTACCCCAGCTATTCCGCGGGAGAAAGACGAGGCTTTCTGCTCCCATAAAGATTTACAGCCTCGGAAACCCTGTGCAGGGTCACTATGAGTCCGAACCGACTCCACGACCCATAACAACAACCCAGTTCCCTTTCATAGCAAAAGACGTGGTAGTGGGATGGATCACAAATAAAAAAGTAGACTATGTATTCTGAAAATGTGCAACAATTTTGCATGCAAAACCACGACAAATTTGTTAAGTGTCATCAAGTCAGGTCCGAAGCATAGTGACCCTGTATATGGTTTCCAAGGAACGGCTGGTGAGTTTGAACCGCCGACTCTTGAAGTTCAAACTGATCTTATGATCCTGTGCGTTATTCCACAGCACCACCCCAATAAGAAGCTCATATTTTTTTAATTCCCTGATGCAATACACCTAATCAATGACAGAATATAGGTGTGAGTGAATGCTAACCAAACACCTGGACGGGAAGCCACAATTAATATTTGCCATGCAACATTTTTATCATTTAGCAAATCGTTTACAGTTTCAACTCTTTTGCTTGGGAGTGAGAAACGGTTTTAACTTTCCTGGAATCCCAGTTTCTGGCGTCCATGAATTTGGAAACTGAACGTTTGAACCTTGAACATTTACAGACTGGTTTGCTAAAGTCACTTTAAATATTCTAACAATGTTGTTGTGTGCCGTGGAGTCGGTTCCGACTCATAGCGACCCTACACAGGGTTTCCGAGGCTGTAAATCTTTAAGGGAGCAGACTGCCTCATCTTTCTCCCGCGGAGCGGCTGGTAGTTTCGAACTGCTGACCTTGCGGCTCGCAGCCCGATTCATAACCACTACGCTACCAGAACCCGGCCGATATTGCTAGATAGCCGTGGTGTGGTGCTGTAGGGTAAACTTGGGACCAGAAGGTCCGCAGTTCCAACTCACCACCTGCTTCTTGGAAACCCTAAGTCAGAACAACCTAGCAAGTAGCTTAGTGAAGGGTTTGATATAGATTGTTGTTGTTGTTGTGAAGTGCTGTCGAGTTGGTTCTGACCCATAGCGACCTTGTATAGGGTTTCCGAGGAGTAGCTGGTGAGCTTGAACCACCGACTTTGCAGTTCAAACGGTTTTCCAGTCTGGAGCATTAACCCACAGCTCCACACCAGGACTCGGCCCTTTTGAAGAATTAACCATTTGTAGTCAGTCACTTTTGATGAACAAACTCCATTGTCAGACTGACAACTTGTTTTATGGCTTAAATTCTAAAGTATTTAATTTATGCAAAGTTGTGGCATCCTGATGTGACTCTAGCATAAGCCCTGAACCACAATGTCAATTGAACTACAATGTCAGGGCTTCAAATTCACCAGTACTTCCTTGGAAACCTTAGGCAGGGTCACTATGAGTTGGAACCAACTCAATGACACTTAACAACAGTAGTTTATAGTAGGAACCCTAGCTCCATTTTTTTTTTTCAAGTTTTTATTGTGAATTGAGTGATAGTTTACATGGGAGAACATCAATTTTACACACATCGTTTCTCCTCATCATTTCTCCTCCGTGCATCCTCATTCAACAGTATTTGCTTCTATTCTCCGTTATTGTTTTTGGCCGGAGATGTACACAAAAACACTCAGGATATATAATCATTTAAACAACCAAGGTGCACATTCTGCAAGCCTATCTCCTGGCCGTCAGCACACAGTCTTTCTCTTTCCATGATTCTAGAGGCCTCGGATGCTCTATTTCTCCATGTCCTCATCTCTGCCTCTATCTCTGGTGTTGATGCTTCTCTGAATAGGGTCCACATTCTGCTCATGCTCTTCTCCCTTAAATGTTCCTAGAGTCTTCTGCTCTTGCATTGTAAGATTAAATACTCCCCCCTTTATGTTACAAAACTTCTACCTTTACAGTTTTTATAGTTGCAATTAGTCATGATAACACTTACTATTGAATCATAAGAATCTTATCCCCATCTCTTTTCACCAGACCTGTCTAGACAAGATGAATGCTATTCAGTGGGGACTCTCCCCACCCCCACCCCCCCCACACACACACACTCTGAAACTAATCTCCCTCTCCCTCTTGAAAACTTGTAAGCCATTCACTTCATGCCTTTATAGCCTGCCCTCCCCCCCCCCCATTTTAGGTAGCCAATGTCTAAGTTGCCCATCCCTATTAAACCTAAGGCTTCTATCAACCTAAGGCTTCTATCATGGAGGGCAGCAGTTAAATGATGTGTGAGAACTGCGCAGACCTGGTGGAGGTGTTAAATGAAACCCAAACCATGGAGCAGCAGGGTTAGAAGTGTCTGGAGACCAGGTCGATGGGGAGACACGGCCTAGCGGGAAGAGACTTCAGGGGCCGGCCAGGCTGTCCTACTTACCCAGGACGGGAGAGCGCCATCCTAGCCTAACCATTGGGTCATGGTTTGAGGCGGGTCGACCAACTTAAAGACCCACAAGTGCAGCCCAAAGCGTCTCACTACAACCCAGTTGCCCCTGCTGCACTTCTGCCACTTGATTGACATCTGAGGATGGAAATCATGCCTTTGAGCCGGACTTAAGAGCCCTAGCACAAGGAGACTCCTATTTAACAGCAACCACGCAACCGCCACTCTTCTGTCTGTCGTGCTGTGGTGGTTTGAATTGCTGTGATTCTGAGGGCTATGCCACCGGTAT